AGAGGTGGGAGATGTTTCATTTTAATCAGAAATTTGCGCGCTACAATTCTGCATTGTTAAGAAAAGTTTGGGTTATTTTTTGGGGTTTCTAAAAAACTGGTTTTCCAGAAGACCGGATCCTCGAAGGACTATGGGAGAGCCCCATGGTCATATTCGGGATCAGCATGGTCGATAACCTATAACCCACTAGATGTCGATCAAAAAGCGATTTATCACCTCGGGAGGTTCCCTCGTTAGTCGTCAGTCCTCATACCAAAAGATTCATTTGAATTCATTTCATTATCTTAAGCAACATAAAAATAAATATTGTAAAAAGAACAAAGTAAAATAGTGAACGAAAGATTATACCATCCATTTTCTGGAATCTATAAAAAGCAAATAAGAAGCATAATGCTTTTATCTTGGCTGTAGATCAATGTTGTGGTGTTGTCATCAAATAAAAAGTAAATCTCTTTTAACTAGCAACAAATAATCGAAGGAATACCTCAGGTAATAATAACTGGATGGTATACTAAGTGAATGTCGAAACAGCTTGAAAGATGTCGTCTGGGTATTCCTTTAGCAGGTGCTCCCCCAAAAACGTGGTGACATTAAAACTGGTGCTCCCCATACGTATTCGGTGTTCCCCCACGGAACCGAAAAAAGTACGATAACATTATAGCTGGTGCTCCCCATACGTATTTAGTATTCCCCTATGTTGAAAAAATTCAGTAAGGTTATGTTTATAGTCTTTTAATGTCAAAATGAAAGAACAAACAATCAGTAAATTAAAAGTACTTTTGTATAATGTTTGATTTTAGAGACTAATAAGCGTTGTAAAATATTCTTTAGGTATGGGAATTCCGAAAACGAATGGAGACATAGGTAATGGCGATTTTTCACTTAAGAATAGTATAGTAGTAAAAAATATCCTTGGAGTTCGAAAGTTCGGAAGATTTCTAGAAAATCTTTCCAAAACTCGAAGTATTTTCCATTGGTTTTATTAAACCCCATAGCATTGAGCAGGTAAAATAGAGTACATCTTGATATTGTGCAATGATTTGGATGGATTTTGACTGGGTTATGAATTTTTTATTTTTACTTAATAGAAATATGACATCATTAAATGGTTATTCATGAAAGTTTGTTGAGGCTACTACATGATGTCGTTCAAAAGGAAGCAATCAGATTTAGTAGCTGAAGGTTATATACATAATTTATCTCCTGTGAAAATTGGTAAACGTGATTATAATTTTGCTGAAACTTTTAATCAAAGCTATCTTTTCACACGATCTTGGTCCTTATCCTTGTCTCTGTTGTGTGTTCCGTCTGAAAGTGTAAGCGATGGCAAATTTTGCCAGGATTTTGGTAACTTATTATCAGGAGAAAAGTGAGGATATGTGTACTCAACCTTAAAATAAAATAAGAACATAGAATAGTTTAGTAATTAGTTTTAAAACGTTTACTTGATAGCCTCGCTTATGATGAAAGCCAATAACAATTATATGTAAAACAAGCGGCTCACGCTGTTGATCTGTCAAAGAAGTTTCACATTCAGCTAACATTTTTTCGTATGTAAAACATCTAAATCAACACAAAAGCGATATAAGAACCAAAAAATCCTCACTAATCTTCTCGGTTATGCCACTGAATACTTTTTTTCTGTCGATGTATTAATTTGAAAACCAGAAGAAAATGCACAATGTAGACGCAAGAAGAAAAAACTAAAAGTGATTTTGAAGAGTACTAGTGAAGCCAATATTTGTGCCTGAATGCTTACTATACAGTTTTTAGGTCAAAATGTACATTATTTAATTTTAACTATACAAGCAAAGTTTAAACGCTAGAAATTAACTAAGGCCAATCTACCTTACATGAATGCAGTAAATAGCCAAGAATGATTTTTCAGTTTAAAAAGATTTACGAGATAAGAACTCAACGATACAAAATAAAACGACAAATATCGCAGATTGCTGATGTTGTACTAACCTGACTAGAAGTGAAGTGAATTTGAAGTATAGTGGAATGAAGTAGTGCTTTTTCTCTCGTGGCTAATTGGATTCGTGCAAGCATCTTGAACAGCGTGTGACAGAACTCTAAGAGAATCGAACCAGATTTTCATCATTCGTTTCGGACTCTGGTGTGTCTCTGTAAGGGCATTTTTGTGCAAGAAAACGTTGGTCAGCTTATATCCGATAGATTTTCAAACCAAGTTTCTAGATTCGATTTTTGCATGATGAATGCAAAAAAATGCTTTTTCGAATGTATCAAATAGCAGCGATATTTAAACGTTTATTTTATTGAAAAAGGATTTTCAAAAAACTGAAGATGGAAATTTTGACTTGCCTCCACCTTGCTTCTATTACATTTATAGATTTCTACATGTAGTACTTCCTCAGATCATACGAATCCCATCTGATACAAAATGATATAAAAAAAGAAACTTTTTCTATTATCAGATTCTGCTGAAGTTTTCCATAGTTGCCGTAACTATTACTTATATCTATAAAAAGCCCTGCGGATTTCTATTAATAGGAATCCAAATGTTGATAAGACATGCTATTGAAACAGATCTCACTTTATTCATCATTAATAAAAATAAGAAAATAATATTATAAAACAATATTTTGTATGTACAGTGCGCAGGACTATGTACAATTAACTTAAGTTTAAAAATATAATTAAATTAAAAATAACATTTTTTAGAACAATCAGATTATGGAATAATCGTTTACACTAAAAGAAAGAGAATCATTTACTTATTCATCGACTAAAGCTGACGAACACATCATATTCACTCCACATGTTTCGTTTCCTCGATAAACTCGATAATAACCCTACAAACCAAATAAAAATGAGAGCTATTGAACAGAAAATTTCAGCATACAAAATACCTTTTCTCCTCAGAAATGGCTCCACGAATTTTTCACAATCCAATATGGTATAAGTTTTGATCCTAATCGAGAATATGCTGTAATATGAATAACATAATGCAAAACAAGTTTATGCTCATTTTCATTGAATGTTCAGTTAATGAGAGTGGACATGATCTGTTTACAGAGCCACTACGCAACAGTTAATATAACAGAACTTTTCATAACATACTCCGAATCGGCTTAAACAATGTTTTATCGAACCGTTGCGATTTTAAATGACTTTCTGGAACTTGGTGCTTTTTTTTTACAGTTTGCACTTTATAGTTGATCCTGTTGTAGATGGCGATCACCTAGTATTAGTGATAGTTTGAAATGTTCATTGCACATAATAAGATTGAAACGTAAATTTAAATTGAAAAATCATTTTATGTCCTTACTAGGCCTGCTAAAGTTCACGTTACGTTCTTTGAACGTGAACACTAAACATAACGTTCTTTAAACGTGAACGTGAGGATTCTGATGTATATGTGAACTTTATTTTATTTGAATGGTGTTCGTCTTATCTGAAGCGCACCAAATTTTGTAAGAGAAATAACTGTATCAATCCATATGAAGCGTTTTCTCTTTCTTTAATGCTTCGTTAACTACAGAGAACAGTTTTAGCGTCCGTTCAGCCTTTTGTATCGCCAGATAAAGGCAGGAGTTATTATAAGGTTCCAACAATTCAAAAGAGAAGGAAGATTTCTTTTTCGTTTTTTCTGTTACAGTTGTACATAAATATTTTCTTGGATCTGAGATGCCACGGAAATAAAACTAGAAATAGATAAGGTTAGCAATAACAGACGACGAGTTAAATTTTTTACGGATTACCGGCATCATATTTGCATTAATACCAATCGATATCGGAGCATTAGCTACAAGCCATTTCGCCATTTCTAGCAACAGAAAAGTAAAAAACAGCATGAATTAAGAAAGGAAGAAATACGCTTACCATTTTCATCCTGTGTAATGTTAACCGATTCATTAATGTAAACATGTACTTTTGTTCTATCAAATTGACACCTTTGTTCATGTCCCAAATATTTGTAATTTGTTTCACTTTCAATTCCAGACATATTCATTATAACACCATAAGCTGTCGTCATTTCACCACCATTACATTCTCCATTTATTTTATCACAATCGACTAATTCTATTAAAGACAAATGAAAAGACGTCTATGTTGACTTAGAAAATTCATGTATAATCTACTTGAATGTTTGAAGTCGCCCGGATGTGTAGTAGATGAGTAGTGGGCTGCAGTGGTTGTGTGGTGCAGAGTTGTAACCGGTCTGGAAATACTAGACCGGTCCGGTCCGGCCAGTCACCGGCCGGTCCAAAAGTATTTCCAGACCGGTAAAAACCGGCGAGTTCATCAAGTTTTTTCAAGTAATAACATTGATATTAGGGACAAAATTTTGTTCTGAATACCTACAGATTTTTACGCATGTCTTTTCTGTAATGCTTATACTAGAATTCTAATACGAAAAAACCAACCAATATTTTCAAGATTGAGTTTCTTCTGCATGAGATAAGGGTCCTTCCCAAGTAAAAAATTAGATTAACATTAAAGAAAAAAGATAAAAGCATATAAACGCCAATACGTGACAATGTTCCGATTGCTAAGATATTTTAAACAATAAATAATATGACTTTGTCTTTGAAAACAAACT